TGTTTTTGCACACAATATCCTGACTTGGAACTATAATATCTGTTCCTTCACTGTCACTGGGTCAAATCATTCTAACATCATTCCTAGTCATGGGTGCACTGGCATTATATGGGCTACAGCAATTCTAGGCAGCAGCTTAGAACCACTTTCTAAAGGACAATTAAGCACAGGCAATTCATCCTGTGAATGAAAAAAAAGACTTAAATCACATTAAGATCAAATTGATGCTGGAAAATACTTATGGCAGAAAGGGAGAAGACAGCAAGCCTTTCCCAAAGTTCATGTTCATAAAAAATATTTCATGAAGATACTTCCACATAAATAATAAATAAAATTACAATCAACAAGTTGATGCATGCTTTTACCTGTCTACAGGTTTCACAAGGTCCACGGTGGCAACGCATTGAACATCTATGAAGGCCACATGCCAATGGTTTGTCACAAGTATCACCACAAGTTGGTATGTCCTCTGTACAGGGCAGTGCAGACTCTAGATAAAGTATTAAATACTTTAGTGTTTCTAGATTTTACCACAAAAATAATAATGTAAATCAGATAAAAAGTATTAAGGAATTTTGAATTTTTGCAATTCTGTGTAAACAAATCTTCTGAGGTAAACAGAAATAAACAAACAAATTCTGCTAACCTTGAGAAGTTTAAAGAATTCAATGACTTGTGTCAAATTACAGGATTTTGCAAGGCACAGGACAATATAACTGATATTTTCTTCGGTTTCTGAAAGGCTTGCAAAGCCTCATGCAGTCCTTGTAGAAAACTAGAAAATATGAAGTACTCAGATAAATCTTGGAGCTAATAAGTCTACCATTTGCAGAATAGCAAGGAGAATGAATGCAGCAATTTACAGTCTCAACTCTGAGCCAAATTGGATGTTGAAGCTGTGAACAATCTGGTTCGACCCATAACAGTGATTAGGGAAAGAAACAGTCCGTGGTAAGAATATCAAACACGAAGTTAAAACTGAATATTATCATCATTTCAGATTTTCCCAGTTTTACAATGCATAAAATTATACAAGCATAACACAAAGATAAGAGATGGTTCAAGGGAGTACATGGAGAAATAAACTTGTATAATATCAGTCAACATTGCATGGAATTCATCCCACAGTGTCAGGGTAGGAAGAGTAATCATTGGTGGGGATGTTGGATCAAAAATTGGATAGATAAAAATGGACAAAGCTGGGGAAGACAGTTAGAACTTTTTATATCAGAAGCACCCTGTTGTAGAGCACATAATTATGCTCAACTTTGTGATGCTGTGCTTAATCAATTTGCACAAGGACTGAAAAACTTATTTATTGTGCAAGATGGAAAGCTTTAGCAACATAGCTCTCGTTTCAGTGATGCCCATTGCAAATAGCCCATTTTCTACTATAACTATATAAACACAGAATTTGTAACCCAACCAGACTGCTCAAAGTGTCAAGAGAAACCTCATGCACAAGTTCATCTCACACGACCTTGGTTGGATGTGAAATGCTTTCACAGTTCTTAGGTGGTCTGATATTTGCCCAAAACAAAGACCAACTTTTCTACAGAATATTACTGAACTGAAATCAGGTTCTATAGAGCATATTACGCCATATACATGGATGGCTGGAGGTAAAAAATAAACTTTAGATACTTTTTAAATATCGTAATTTACCAGCCTCTACCACTTCCTCTGACAACTCATTCCATACATACATCACCCTCTGTGTGAAAAAGTCGCCCCTTAGGTTGCTTTTAAATCTTTCCCTACTCATCTTAAACCTATGCCATCATTTTGGACTCCCCTACCCTGGAAAAAAGACCTTGGTATTCACCCTATCCACGTGATTTTAAAAACCTCTAGAAGGTCACCCCTCAACCTCCAACACTCCAGGGAAAATAGCCCCGGCCTATTCAGACTCTCCCTATAGCTCAAAACCATCAATTTTGGCAAAACCTTTAAATTTTTTCTTCACCTCTTCAAGTGTAACATCTTTCTTGTGGCAGGGGGGCCAGAAATGAACACAGTATTCCAAAAGTGGCCTAACCAATGTCTTGTACAGCTGCAGCATGATTACTCAACTCGTATACTCAATGCACTGTTCAATAAAGGTAAATGAACCAAACACCACTTTCACTATCCTATCTACCTGTGACTCTATCATTTATATAAATGACGAAAAGCAGGGGACCCAGCACCAAGTCTTGCAGCACACCACTGATCACAGGCCTCCAGTTTGAAACACAACTCTCCATCATCACCCTGCTTCCTACCTTCAAACCAATTTTGTGTCCAAATGGCTAGCTCCCCCAGATTGCATGTGATCTAACCTGTCTAACATTCTACCATGCAGGAACTTTGGTGAACATCATTTAGACAATGTCCACTGCTCTTCCTTTATCAATCTTTTGTCACTTCTTCAAAATGCTCAATCAAGTTAGTGAGGCCTGATTTCCCACACGTAAAGCCAAGTTAACGATCTCTAATCATTCGTTGCCTTTAAAGAAAATACATGTAAATCCTGTCCCTCAGAATCCCCTCCAACAATGCACCCACCACTAATATCAGGCTCACAGGTCTATGTTCCCTGGCTTTTCCTTACCACCTTTCTTAACTAACAGCACCACATTAGCCACCCTCCAGTCTTCCATCACCTCACCTTTGGGTATCAATGATACAAATATCTCAGCAAGGGACCCAGCAATCACCTCTCTAGCTTCCCACAAAGTTCTACATCTTAAGCATTATAGCAGGAATACTGGCGCACGTGGCATTTGCAGTATCCAGTGCCTCCAACCGTTTCTTGATATCACCAGGTGCTGTCTTAGGATTTGAACCCATTTCCCCAGGACACTAGCCAGGGCCTCTGCATTACCAGCCAGTGATTTACTGCTATCCCACTATCTCACAAGAACCTATTGCATTCTTAAAGACACTCAATGAGTTGGCCTCTACAGCCTGCAGAGGCAACATGTTCCTTCTCAACTTGGTTCTAAAGAATTAGCCCATTTTTTTCTGGGGCTGACTCTTCAGGTCCTAGTCTCTCACATTAGTGGAAACGCCTTGTCCAGTTCCAGTCTTTCCACGCCTCTCAGTATTCTTTAAGCTCCAATGAGGTCCCCCCTCGTTCCTCTAAATTTAATCAAGGTACAGAGCCAGCGTTCTCAACCACACCTTAAGTGACAGGCCTTTCATCCCACGATCATTCTTGTAAACGTCCTCTGGACCTTCTCCAATACCAGCACATCTCTCCTTAGACATGGGGCCTGAAACTGCTCACAATATTCCAAATGTAGTCTGACCAGAACCTTATACAGCCTCAGCAGTACAGCTCTGCTCTCACATTCTAGCCCTCTCAAAAATGAATTCTGACAGTGGATTTGCCTTCATAAACTCTAACTGAGTTTGCATGCTAATCTTAAGAGAATCCTGAACTAAGATTCCCAAGTTTCTTTGTACTTCAGATTTCCAAAGCCTTTCCCCATTGAGAAAAGAGTTTACGCCTCTATTCTTCCGATCAAAGTGCACTTTCCCACATTGTATTCCATCCGCTACTTTTTTGCCCGCTCTTCTAGTCTTTCCAAGTCCTTGTGCAACCTCCCTGCTTTCTCCACACCACCTTTCGCTCCAAAACGTAGGAAGCATGCCCTCAGTCCCTTAATCCAGATCATTAATGTATAACATGAATAGTTGCAGCTATGGCATAATGCCCAAATAAGATGTCTTTGTGATGTTGGCTGAAGCAGAAATATTGATCCCAGCTACTAAGAGTAACGCCCTATTCTTCAAAATGATCCTGTGTGATCTTTCGTATCCATCCAAACAAGCAGATAGAATCTTGGTTAAAAAACAACACTTTTGACAGTGCAAACACCACTGGAGCATCTGCTTGGTTTTTTGGCTCAAGCCTTCAAAAGAATTTTGAACCTGGAACTTTAAAGGAAAGTGTGCCACCAAATGAGCCCTGCTGACAAACTGCAATAATTATTAGAAATTTGAAAACGTACTAGGTAGTGGATGGATTATTGCAGTTTCTCTGCAGCTGACGCAGTGATACAGGATTAAATTACCACAGCACAGGGAACCTGGAATGATAGTGAGATACCCTGCATTCTAATTGTGAACAAAATAACTTGGAACATAACATTGATTTTTTTTTTTTAAAAAAGAGGCAAAAGCATAATACTGAAAACAAGATAGTACAGACAGCAAATATTTTTTAAATAAACAAAAAATTTTAGATAGATGAATGATATGTGTACACATACTTGACTTCCCACAGGGACAAGCCCTGTATCCTGATCGAGGACAATTTCCACAAGTCCCACGGTGACAGACCTGCTCACATGTATGATTACCACAAGTTAGAGTTCTTCCACACACCTAAAAGCAATAATTTTATGAATTACAAATACAATTTTTACTGACATTTAAATCCTCAAAATTATTTATGTTAACATTGAGAGTTACTGCAGTACATGTTAACAAAAAGTTCCTTCAACATCACCTTCCAAACCCGTAATCTCTATCACCTTGGAGGACAAAAGCAGCAGACCATGGGATCACAGCTCCCTTCAAGATCCCCCTCCAAGACACATTTCCCTGACTTAAAACTATAACTGTTACTCCTTCACTGTGTCAGAAGTCCTGTAATCCCCCCTTCCTTTCAGCACTGTGAATGTTCCTAAACCCACTGCAGCATTTCAAGAAGACAACACATCACCATTATCTTTAAGGTAAGTAGGGATGAGCAATAACTGCTGATCCAGATAGCAATGCCTACAACCCTTCAATGAAAGATAAAAAAAAAATCCTTGAGAAGTTTACAAAGTGGAAACCAGTAAGCTAACCTACTGCAAAAAAAAAAAGAACTGTGAATGCTGGAAATCAGAAATAGCTGGAAAATCCAAGGTAGTCAGGTAGCATCTGTGGAGAGAAAGCAGACTTAACATTTTGGGGCCAGTGAATCTTTTTCAGAACTGTTCTGAAGAAAAGTCACTGGACCTAAAACATTAACTCGGCTTTCTTGCTGTCTGACCTGAGTTTTCCCAGCTATTTCCAATTTTGTTTTTGAAGCTAAATTGTAAGTAGGATCATTTCAGTTTGACCATTTTCAAAAACATTTCTTCCTCCTCCAAATGATTGGGTTAACAAAGCTTGGCAGAGCTATGCACAGTATTGACTGCCCTCTTCTATCTTCAAATTGTGCTCTCTGGTTCGACTCCCTTACAAGAGAAAGCATCCTCTCAGCATCAACCTTGTTAAGCCCTTGAACTTTATATTAATAGACCTAACATTACATGTGGTAACTTAAAAGCACTCTGTAAATGACTACAAGTTGTTCTTAGATAAGAGAAGGTAGATAACAGAATTAATACTGACATTTGAACAGGCCTAAGATGCAGGGCACAATAGTAGCAAGCAGCACTCAAAAATAACAACACTGCCACCTAGGATCACAATTCTTTAAAGTCTGGCACAACAGAACACATGCCTGGGTCAGAGACATGAAGTTGGAACCATGTCGGAAGTAGCTAGCTAAAGTATAGTAGAGGCTGAAAGAAATGGTCACAGAGCAGGTGAGCATCAGAGAGTAATCTGGTTGCACATTGTCGAAATGTTGACGATATCTGCAAAGTGTTTTCAGTCAGTCAATTTAACTAAAACTGGCACTTCACAGGTGAAGAAGCAGCAGCCCCCAGTGGTAAAAATAAATCACTGGAGGCTGCATATTACAAAAAAATTTCTGAAGTTTGCAACTGCATAGCCCAAGTTCTGAACTGATTAATTGTACATATTATTCCCATCCCACAGCAATTTTACACTCATACTGTTAAGTAGCTTTGGATTATCAACCAATTTGCGATCGACTCAGTAGGATCTTATCTCTTTCCAGTGAATGTCTGTCTTTAATTTCCAATTTTCTGATGGATTTCAACAATTGATTATGGGTCAATGATTACAAAGACCATTATTAATTCAGTTGATCTACCTAGCCAATCTATTGTTACTTCAGGTTACCTTTTCACACTGCCACTGCGGACTAGCACACAGCCTCTCAGCTGTTTCCTTCCCACATAAACACCGTTGTCTGCTGACACGGGGACACTCTGGGCAATTACCTAAAAACAAAAAGTAACCAAGTTATAGACGATTTTGAATATATTTCTAAACACAAAAAGGTTTATATACAGATCATGGCACAGCACTCCGTTTTTCTGCCTATTAGAGGTGTAGTTGCCCAATTTTGATCACATGTTCATTCTCTCCAAATTTCTCCTTAAAATCTAACTAGACTTTGAAAGGTACACTCTGCCAAAGGGGCAAGTTGAAAAAAATCATTAAATATGCATATGCTGAGTAACTGCCAAGTTTCTCCAGCACTTCCAGTTTTTATTTAAGATTTCCAGCATACAGAATATTTTGCTTTTAAGTTATGAAATTTTAGATGACATAAATGCAGAACAGTGTGACATAACACAGAATATTGTACTTTCACTACTTCTGGAGCTAAATAGAATAAACAGCACTTCAAGTTTCAGGCAACCATACTTGAACTGAAGTAACAAAAAGTTATTTTCTGAACAGTATAATTTTACAGTACAATTCTACTAGGGCTCATGGTAGAACAATTTTCCCAGCGGCATCAAATCCCAAAAGTGAAAAAGATTTTAAATCTAGCAACCATGAAAAGTTAAAGCAGTACCAAGCTAGATTCACCACAATTACAGGATACCACAGCTATAAGAAAAGAACTTAAAAGGAAGCTATAGTAAATGGGAACTATAATAAAAGAATTTAAAGAAACCTAATAACTGCCAATTGTTCATATTAACAAAACATATCTCAAGGATTTAACCAGAGCTTTATATTTGCGTTCCTGGGTTTTAGTAGGCATCTGAAGGTTGCAAGGGGGCTTGAATGGTATAATGGACCTCCTCATCTTTTCAACACACAGAACTGGGTTCAAATCCAGCCTACACATTTGGAATGAAAACTTAATAGTTTCACTAGTCCACAAAACAAAATCATTTCTAGTAAATAAAGTAGTTCAGATAACTGCACAAAAAGTACAGAAACTTTACAGTAACAGTGAGACTGGAGGAGGCTTTTGGTGGCTTTACCCCACGACAAGCTGTGCTACTGATTCAATACACCTACACTGACATTTCCGACCTTGAATAATTTGGATGAAAACTTGACAAAATACTGTTGATAATGGAAATACAAAATAAAAATAAACATTGCTGGAAATATTCAACAAGTCTGGCAAGACCATACATATGAAATTAATATCACGACAGCCATCAAGGTACGATTTGAAAGATTTTCAGAAAATCTTGTAGTGCCTTGAATTTATAATCTAAATTCAGTTTCAGGTTTTAAGGCAGGATGGCATTGCATTCACCTGTCGAGTTAATTGAAGCCAATGGAGTTATGTCAGCTTAGCTCATCTCAGTTTAGACAGCAGAAAATTCAAAAGAGACATTGTTCCTTGCTGCATTTAAATCGTGCTTCATAAAATAATTTTAAATATTACATAATTCTCCAGAGATTTGTCTTTTCAGAATGTAAGAGACAGAACAGACAGCAAATAAACAGTGAAAAATTACCAAGAACGCTGTTTTATACATATGTCCTATTTGTTTAGGACAGAAGAAACACCTTAGAAATCAATAGTACCATTATCCCCCACCAAATAATATGTTCCTTGTAGTTAATTTTAAAAATAGTTATTCCCAGATGTAAGCACAATGTCACACTTGTACAATGTCTATACAATCCTTCATGCTGCATCTTGATTTATTTGTCCAAATCTTAACTGAACAAACCTCATTTATATGGTTTTAACCAACCTGTATGACATGGATTTTCACATTTATGCTGCCCACAAGTTAATAGCCGGTTGCACAGCTGCTGACAGGACCACCCCTTAGCACTGCAACGTCGGGACACTGGTTTAGCCTTGTTACAGTAGCAGGTTATGGAGACCATCTTTGGACAAGGCGGGCAAGGACCTAAATCAGAAGTGCAAACACTGTTAGACTTATTGCATTGTTTTACTCAATGTTATAAACTATTTGTTAATTCTAAATCACTTTACCAGGATGGCATAAAAGAAGACACTTGTGTCCACATAAAGGCTTGAATTCTTTGTCACAAACTTGGCCACAGGAATGAGGTACCAACCAAGGGTCTGATGGAGGATCTTCAACCTTTCCACAGTAACAGTAATACCTTGTTGGAGTTTGAGACTGTTCATATGGGTGCCTGCATTTAGGACTGAACAAACCAAATAGCAAAATTAATAATTCTGGTTCTCCAACAATATTTATTTTATATGCCGAAAATAAAATTTTAGTGAATTTCACTGTATTATACATTTCTTTTGGCACTATATGCTTTTCAAAAAGACTACAACTAGCAATTCTGCAATAAAAATAATCTGCTGTTATATTGAATGTAAAAGCAAAAGAGGGTTATTAACTTTTAAGACATGCAGAAAGTAAACATTTTTGAAAAAATACATGAACGACTACAATCAATTTAAATTGCATATGTTTTTGGAAAAAATATATGATCAAGTGTTATGCAACTAATGGGCTAAAAGATTAATAAAGTTACAGAGGATTTTGCATTTACGTCAAATGAAGGGGTAAAGTCATACTTCACACTACTGTTCAAATAACTTATTTCATTAACCAAAGACACCATAAAAATCTCAAAATTTAAGCAAATCAGCTTCTAGAGTTTCATATAAGGCTCAACCATAAAACAAGATTGAACACTTCAGATGTTAAATTCAAAAGGTTTATTAAACATTAAGTGGCAGAAATGTAACAAGTTAAAATGATAGAAGACAATGTTCCAACTAATAGTAAAAAGACAATGCTTAATTATGCAGACATATCAACTTTTTCAGATAGTTGACCAAAGCAAAGTGTGATTTAATCCTCTCCCCAACACTGTCTAACAGGTTAACAAATCAGCGTCCTCAAAACCTTCATACTTATACCCTTAAGTCATTTTCTTACCTCAAATCAGCCCAACTGTCAAACACTAATTGGTTAACTTAACTGTCTGTTCAATTATGATTGGTTTCTGACACCTACGAACAGCTTCCTACGTTTGTGAGCATTTTTCCATACAATGTCACAATGGCCTAATTGAAAATTTCCATATCTGATTTTTCTAATAACACTTTAACAGCTTATTCTCTACCCAGTTTGATGAGACTATAAAAGGTCATTCATGAAGTAATTGCTTCAACATTCCTTGGGAATCAGTATTTACAGAGTAAGAAACCAACACAATCTTAAATTGTTATAAAATGAAACAGTGCTGGGACCTTGGTTATTTACATAAATAATCTGAATGTTAGTGTACAAGGCATGATTCGTAAGTTTACAGATGACACAAAATTAGGCGGTAACGTTGATAGTGAAGAAGTTTATCAAAAATTACAGAGGGATCTTGATCAGATGGGAAAGTGGGCTGAGGATTGGCAAATGCAATTCAATACAGACAAGTGTGAGATGTTGAACTTTGAAAGATCAAACCAAGGTAGGACATGTACAGTAAATTGTAAGGTCCTGAAGAGTGTTGTGGAACAGAAGGAAGGACCTAGGAGTACAAGTACATAGTTCATTGAATGCGGCGTCACAGGTGGACAGGGTGATGAAGAAAGCATTTAGCATGTTGTCCTTCATCGTTCGAGGCACTGAGTATAGGAGTTGGGACATTATATTACAGTTGTATAAGTCGTTGGTGTGGCCGCGCTTGGAGTATTGTGCACTGTTTTGGTCACCCTTTTATAGGAAAGACATAGTGAAACTGGAAAGTGCACAAAGAAGATTTACAAGGATGATGCCAGGGACTAGTAGGCCTGAATTATAGGGAGAGGTTGGCCAGAATAGAACATTCCTTGGAACGTAGGAGAATGAGAGGTGACCTTATTGAGGTGTACAAAATCATGAGGGGCACGGATAGGATGAATGCATATAGTCTTTTTCCCAGGGATGGGGAATTGAAAACTAGAGGGTACAGAATTAAGGTGAGAGGGGAAGATTTAAGAAGGACCTGACGGACAACTTCTTCACAGAGTGGTGCGAATATGGAATGGGCTGCCAGAGAAAGTGGTTGAGGCAGGTACAATAGCAACATTTAACAAACTTTTGGATAGGTACATAGATGGGAAGGGTTTAACAGGGATATGGACCAAATGCGGGTAATTGGAACCAGCTGAGAGAGCAGCACGGTCAGCGTGGACCAGTTTGGGCCAAAGGGCCGGTTTCCATGCTGTATTACACTATGACTATATAATTACAGATTTCTGTTAGTTATATGTCCAGCCTTTAATAATACACTTACTGATTATTTCTTATTCTTAAAAAGACTCATAATTGAGGCTTACACTTTATTCAAATCATTTTTGGCTGGTTACAAAACATCCAGTAACTGATTTCAAAAAACGTCTCCTGTGTTAGTCTCAAAATGGCTTATTGGGGGCATGTTAGCTTACTGATCCTTGACTTCCTGACCGCCAACTGCAATCAGTAAGGAGAGGTGACAACACTAGCTCCATAACAATCCTCAACACTGGTGCCCCGCAAGACTATATTCCTTACACACTCACAGTTGTGTAACTGCATTTACGAATTTGCTGATGACACCACCATAGTGGGTTGAATCTCAAACAAAGACGAGACAGACTGCATGGCTTAGTGGCATGGTGTAAAGACAATCTGTTCCTCAATGTCAGCGAAATGAAGGATCTGGTCATCGACTTCAGAAAGCAGAGTGGAGGACATGCCCCTGCCTATAAGAGTGGTGCCGAGATGGAGGTGGTTGAGAGCTTCAAGTTCCTAGGAGTAAATATCACCAATCTACCCTGGTCCATCCATGAAAACCATACAAATCAAGAAAGCACACCAACACCTCAACTCCCTCGGAAGGCTAAGGAAATTTGGCATGTCCACAACGACTGTTACTAATTTTTATAGATACATCATAGAAAGCAACCTATTCAGATGCATCACAGCTCAGTATAGCAACTGAAAACAACAAATGCTAGAGATCACAGCAGGTCACATAGCATCCATGGAACTGTTCTGCTCAAGACCGCAAGAAATTACAGGAATTTGTGAAGACAGCCTGGTCCATCACAAAAACCAGCCTTCAGTCCATTGACTCCGTCTACACTTTCCGCTGCCTCGGCAAAGCTGCCAACATAATCAAAGACCCCTCCCATCCCAGTTATACTCCCTTCCACCATCTTCCATCCGGCAGAAGGTACAATAGTTTGAAAACACATACCAACAGATTTACAGACAGCTTCTTCCCCACCTGTTGCCAGACTTGTAAATGGACTTCTCACAAGTTAGAGTTGATCTTTCTCTGCACCTTCTCTGTAGCTGTAACAGTATATTCTGCTTTCTGTTCTATTACTCTGATATACTTATGTAACATATGATTTGTCTTACTAGCACACAAAACAACACTTCTCACTATTTTGGCACAAGTGACAATACCAAATCAAATCAAAGTAATAACCAAACCACAGAAATAGTTAAGTTGTTCTTAAGTCAAAATAAAAATATTAGTATACTTAAAACTTTTAAAAAATCTTAACCACTGGAATCAGGCCATTTGGCACATCAAGTATACACCAACCCTCCAAAGAGCATCCCATTTTTAAAATTGTCAATTGCATTCACTTTGGAAAGATATTCATTTCTGGTCAAATTGATCAAACCTCTCCAAAGATTATTACAATTCCGCACAGTAATCTCACATGTAACAAGTGAATATTTACATCATAGAGAACTAAGGGGAAAATCTCCAAGCAGGATTACTAAGCAAATATTTTCCAGTCATTAGAATGGGTCCAGAGAGATGTTTATAAGATACCTGAGATAAGTTTTGTCATATTGTAAAGATAGTATCTTTTTATTTTTCATTGTGGACTGAAGTGGGAAAGTTTCCATTCTGAAGAACAAAGATTGCTAAAGGCAATAACCTGACACTCATTGTAAGCACTCTTTACATTGCTGCAATTTCAAACATTAATAGAAAGTGGTGCAGGGCAGGATCCAAGGATACATACAAATGGAGATTCAGCTGACAACAATTAGCTGATCGGTCTGTGCATTAGTGACCAGTTATCAAAGACAGAGGCCATCCTTCTGCCAGCAACCATGTAATT